AAAACTCATTTAATTTTATGGCTTACAGGGCTTATACTGAGTTCAATATTGTATAACTGTATTGATTCAACAGCAAACCTAGAAATTTTATATCCACTTTTGAAGGAGCTCTGTCTTTGCCCTGGAAACTGTTATTGGGCATGTTGAAGCTGTAATGATATGCTTCTTCTAAAAAACTAATATTAAAAAAATCAATAGGCCCATAAACAAACAACACAAAGAAAGAATCAAGGAACTTGAAAATAGGCCAGTAAAGAACTCCCCCAAGTGAGCTACAAAGAGAAAACAGAAACAAAAACCCAAACAGAACAGACCATCCAAGAATTGTGAGATAAAAATCAAAAGGTATAACATATGCAGCATCGGAAAACCAGATTGAAAGGGAAAAGGTAGATGTAGCTGACTTGGTAGAGTGCATACATGAAGCCCTGGGTTCAACTCCAGCACCCCATGGTAGCTCATGCCTGTAATCCCAGCACACTAGAAGTGGAGACAGGAAGATCAGAAGTTCATCCACGAGACCCTGTCTACAAAAGGAAAGGATGGAAGAAAGGGGAGAGGAGAGGAGAAAAGGAAGGAAAGGGGAAAGAGAGGGAAGGGGAGGGAGAGAGGGAGGGGGTGAGGGAGGGAGGGGAGGGAGTAGAGACAACATTTCCAGCTGTAGTGACTGAACTTTCCAATATTACACCAAAGACACCAAATTGATGATCTAGAAAACCAAACAACACCTCAAATAAAAACAAAAATAGAAGCCAGGTGTAGCGGTGCACACATTTAATCCCAGCACTTGGGAGGCAGAGGCAGGTGGATCTCTATGAGATTGAGGCCAGCCTGGTCTAATGCACACAATTAACAAGACAGTGAAGTCTTGGAAGAGAAAAACCCCCACCAAGTTAGAATTCTATATTCAAAAAAATCATTCTTCAAAAATAAAAACCATTGGGGATGGAGAGATGGATCCGGGTTAAGAGCAGGTGCTGCTCTTACAGAGGACCTGAGCTCAGTTCCCAGCACCCTCTTCTGGCCTCCACAGGCATTGTACAACATGGGTGCACTTATATACATGTAGGTAAAATACTCATATGCATAAAAATGAATAATAAATAAATAAAAATTTAAATTAAGCAGTTGCTACATGACCTGCAGTCCTACTCCCAGAGATACATCCAAGAGAACTGAAAACATGTCTATAAAACTACAACACAAAAGTACACAGCAGTGTTACTTCTAGTAATTAATAGTAGAAATAACTGGAATTTTCATCAGCTTATGAGTGGATAAATAGAACGTGGTATATCCACACAGTGAAATCTTATGCAGTCATAATAAGAATGAGGGCCTGAAACTGTACTAGAACATGAATGGACCTCAAAAACACCGTGCTAAGTGAATGAAGCTAGATACAAAGTGTTATTTATTACATGGTTTCATTTATGCAACAGGTTTAGAATGAACAAATTCTTACAGAGAGAGTAGAATAGTGACCACTAGGGGATGAGAGAGAGGGGAGCTGGGAGTGACTGTTAAGAGGTATGGCGTTGTTGGGGGGTGATGGAAGCATTCTGGAATTTGTGATGATGACCACACAACCTGTGAATATGCTAGAAGCCTCTGAGTTGCACGCTTTGAAAGGGTGGGCTTTATTATATGCAAATTTTACCTCCCTCCCCAAAGGTAAAGGAGACTCTTGAAACAAACATAAACTAGATTTCATAGCAGCAGACCATGCCAAAAATGATAAATTCTCGAGTCAGAAGAAGAATGACAGTGGTCAGAGACTTATAAGAATATTAAAAAGGAAAAGCAGCATTGGGGAAATAAATGAAGGTGAGTACAATCTTCTGTTTTTCTTATTTTAAAAGCATTCATTATTAGTTATAACTATTATGCATGTGCATGATACGTGCATGTGGGTCTGTGTGCCACAGTACATAAGTGGAGGTCAGAGGACAACTTTGTGGAGTCACTTCTCTCCTTCATCCTTTACAAGGTTTCCAATGATTAAACTCAGGTCTTCAGGATTGCATGGCAAGTACCTTTATCTGCAAAGCCATCTCCCTGGTCCATTTTTCTTATTGTTCTTTGATCAAAAAGACAACTGTTTTTTGAAGCAATAAGAGTAAAAATGTGTCAGGTAGTGTGGCGAATTCCTATAATCCCAGCACTGGGGAGGTGGGGGCAGGAATTCTTGGTCTCCCTGGGCTGCATGAGAGCCTGTCTCAAATCAAAATGGAGTGAAAATGCATTGGGTGGTTGTAGATGTATCAGTGAAATGGATGACAGAATTGACAGAGGGACAGGGGGGACTTGGGAACAGTCTGCCCTACACATGAAGATACATAGTATAACATATTGTACATGATCTGTAGGCGAGCTTTGATTAGTTTATAAGCATGATCACATGCATTCTAGTCCCTTCTTTCTCTCCCTCTCAGTGGTGCCACTGAGAGATGAAACCCAGGGCCTTGTACATGGTGGACATGTGATGTGCCACCAAGTCATGCCTGCACCCAAGAGAAAGCCTCCCAAATGTCAGTATCACAGTGACTATGGTCTCTGACCACAGTGAGTTGGAGTTTAGATGCTAATTAGGAAATGAGTTAAAATTCCTACATATTTGCAAATTTTATAGTATATTAAATACAGGTTCAAAAGCCTACACATTGGATACTTAGATGTTAGAGGTTAAGCATGGCAAGCATTACATATCAGAACTAACTGAATATAGCAAAAATCAGTGTTTTGAAGGCAATGCTTAAATTACTTATATAAAGCCAATGAATGCTTGAAATTGATGAACTATATGATCAATTTTCCTAGTTTAGGAAAATAATCACAGACCAACCAATGAAAAAGAAATATAATAAATGTAAGAATAGAAATTAGTATACATGGACATATATGTGTACAATAGAGACAATATAATAGAGTCAAAATCAGAAATTTATTCCTTTGGAAAAATAGCACTCAGAAAATAAGCAAGCCACCAGTAAAATGAATTAAGGAAGAAGAATCAAGACATGAATAAACAGTGTTATACATGGAAAAAACTGGATATGATCATTTATAAAACAAAATATATAAAAACAGTATGATCAAAAATCATGTCAAAAAAAGTTGGAAAAGTTAGATGAAATGAAATTCTAAACAATATAATTTACCAAAACTAACACAAAAAGTTCTGTAAGCTGTAAAGAAATTGAAGTACTGGTTAAAGTATTTACCATGAAGAAAGCATCAGCTCTAGATCATTTTATGTGCCCATTTTTTCATATTGAAGGAACAGATCACCTCGACCTTATTTAAACTCTTCTCAAAAGAAAAGGCAAGAAGTTCATTTCAGGAGACCAGTCCAATCTGGTACCAATCCCTCATTAGCCAAATGAGAAGGAAAACCAAGGAAACCATCTCACCGGTAGGCAGAGAAGCAAAATCTTAGCCAATATATTAGTAAAACAAAGTCCAACAGTTGTTAAAAGGGGATGATATACCTTAACCAAACCAGGCTCACCCAATGATGCAAGGGACATCAATGTTTGTGAAAAATTACCTTGATGGGCTGGATGGGTGTGGTGGCACACACCTTTAATCCCAGCACTTGGGAGGCAGAGGCAGGCGGATCTTTGTGAGTTCGAGGCCAGCCTGGTCTACATAGTGAGTTCCAGGACAGCTGGGGCTACAGGGAGACCCTGTCTCAAAAAGACAAAAAAAATTACCTTGATAAACACAGCTGAGTGCTTATCATTGGATAAAGCAACACAAGCACACCACTGAAAACTAGCAAATCATGAATGAAAGAGGATATCCATAACCCAATAAAAAGTATCTACAGAAAAAAAAAATCTCACAAGAAATGAGAGACTGGTGAGCATTGTATTTAGGCAAGGTGAACAGAGTTGGAAACAGTGGGGAAAAAACACAGACATGTGCAGTCAATATCAAGGTCTCGTGTGCGTGTTCATGTATGTGCAGATATGTGTGGAAGCCAGAGGTCAACCACAGGCACTGTTCCTCAGGAGCCATCCACCTTATTTTTTGAGACATGATCTCTCACTGGGACCTGGGGCTTGCTGATTAGGCTAGGCTGGCTGGCCAGTGAATCCTAGGATCCTCCTGTCTGCTCTCCCCAACACTGGGATTAGAGGCATGTACCACCACCTGACTTTCTTACCTGGGTTCTGGGGATTGAATTCAGGTCCTTAAGCTTGCACAGTAAGTGCTTTACTGACTGAGTGATCTCCCTAGCCTTCAGGGTCCTATTTTTTTTCATGTTCAGTGTAGGTTCCCACGGATTTTTATCTGTTACTGAAATCAGTGGAACAAGCTAACACCTGTGGATCAGTGACAGGAGGATGTCATAAACCAGGGGTTTGTAAGTGTGGCTCCTAGCCTACAGCAACATCACCTGGAGGCTTGTGAAAACCTCCCATCTCCATAGTCTCACCCAGTCCTACTGAGCAGAAACAATGGTGGTGGCACCCAGCAATGCATTTTATCAAGCCCTCCATGTGACTCTGATGCCTGCTTGTTTGACGGTCAGCAAACCTTCATGCTTAGTTGAGTTTTAAACTAGATGTAGAAGGAATCAATCATGACTTCTTCATGATGCCCTGATAACAAATATAAAACGGAGGAAAATGGAGCCAGTTAACACCAAGTAATTCCTAGTACTAGAAATATGCTAAACTTCATGTCATTTTGAATTTTACACTACAGAACCAAACAAAGTTGGAAGCACTTTCAGAAAGTAATATAACTTCTGTGAAGGGGGAGAAAAGGCCACTAAGAAGTTTTGCTACAGTTTGAAATGCGGGCAGAAGGCACATTAGTTTGGTACACCATGGGCGACCTCCAAGAGAAAAAGTCTAGAGAGGGGAAAGACTGTAAGTTGTGTGTCAGGTCCAGGGTCGCTGCTGCCCATGACAAAGCACAGTTCAGAGTGCATCATTTCTTTGCAGAAATTGGAGTGGAAGCATCTAGTCTTCAGATCCCGACTGTACCTTGTGAACTTCTGCCAACTCATAGTCCGTCCTTGCTGCCTTCTTCAGAAAGCCGGCTTTGGTGGTGGTGATTTTTGGCTTTGGAGGTTTGATCCTCAGTTGTGTCACAAAATCTGGGAGACATGACTCAAGTTCCACTAAGCCTGTGGGAAGGAAGTATACATTTTTAGTATCTGGTGCTTAAATTTGACATATTAAAAGTGTATTGTTAGTTTTGTTAGCTGTTAGCTGCTTGTCAAGTGCTTTCAATGAGAATTGTTGGTAAGGTGTAGTAATAACAGAGTGAACAGTTCCTAAAACATAAAGCACATTTAAGTAACTTCTATTCCCAGTGGCTTAGGTGGTACGGTGAGAAATTTATTCTAAAATAAAGATGTGTCCTACAAAAAGTAACAGCCAGCAAGAAGTCAATGACCCTAGAATACATGGCATCACCGTTCTAAAATGGGTATTGAGCAATGCCTCATGTTTTGCCCTGGGGATGGTCAGCCAGGGCTGTGAGTTTAAGAATATGACCATTAACTCATGGTCTTGGTCAGATGATGCTTCAACTTGTAAGCAGAACTTTTAAAAATTTAAACAAGTCTCTTGCCTTCATAAAAGGCACAGTCCTCACCGTGAATTTATCACATGGTGGGTCACCTGTTTCCTTGCCTCCTAGATTTTTGGCCTTTGCTTTTACTATAAATTTCTTGTTTACTTCATAAACCTGTTGTAAAAACCCTTTTCTATTCCACCTAAAATTTGGGAGGGGCATTTTTAAATTTTATTTTATGAGTGTTTTGCCTGTATGTATGTAGGTACACCCATGCATGCAATACCCATGGAGGCCAGAAGAGGGTATTGGATTCCTGTAACTGGAATTATAGACAGTTGTTAACCACCATATGGGTGCTGGAACTGAACCCAGGTCCTCTGCAAGAGCAGCCAGTGCTCTTAACTGCTGAGCCATCTCTCCAGCCCCTCAATTTCACTTTTGAATAACTTGATTCTTGAGACTCTTGTTTTTAGACAGGAGTCTAGCTAAGTTACCCAGGCTGACCCCAAACTCCTGCACTTAAGTGAGTACTTGGAACTACAGACATATGTCACTACACCTAGCTAGCATTTAAAAATATTTAATAACTAGCTGAATTTACTCTTTGTTGCCATCTCTCCAGCCCCTCAATTTCACTTTTGAATAACTTGATTCTTGAGACTCTTGTTTTTAGACAGGAGTCTAGCTAAGTTACCCAGGCTGACCCCAAACTCCTGCACTTAAGTGAGTACTTGGAACTACAGACATATGTCACTACACCTAGCTAGCATTTAAAAATATTTAATAACTAGCTGAATTTACTCTTTGTTAAATTATTCTACAATGTTTGCTTTCTTTGAGTTTGATTTTTTTATTATTTATTAGTTTTCATTTTTATTTATTTATTTTTTGAGTCTGAATTTTTATTGCTTTGCATGACCTCATATTAATAAGCATAGGAGACTGGTTTATTGGTGTTTTTTCAAATATTTGTTTATCTTTTAATCTAACATGTATTTAACCCAGATGACTTCTACTAAACTTCTACTAATCATGTGAATTATTTACCTTCATAGGTATTGAGATAATGATTTTTGACTACAAAGTCCTCTGAGTTGTTGTCTGGGAAACGACCAAGGTGAGACAGAGGTCCATAGACTTGAGATGAGAAATCAGAATAGTCCTTGATGATATCTCTTCTCTGCAACTTCCCTTCTATGTTCTTTCTCTTTCCTATAAGTTTTCTGATTTCTGAAGAAAAAAATCCATAATTATCTCCCAAATGTTGTATAAATGTAGAATAGTAAACCAATGCTAGTTTGACTCATTAGGAAATTACTGAACTGGATGAATTTTACAGTGGTTCATCACAGCCAGCACAGAGCGCTAGAACCCAAGGTCTGCCATCTGTTGGCTCTGGGTGCCCTAAGATGGGCAGGAGTGATGGGAGGAGAATCACCTGGAATCCTCAATGGGTGTATACACACAGACACACAGACACACAGACACACACACACCTCTGTCATAACTGCAAACTCTGGTACAAGGAATAGTATTCAATAAAAGTTTGCTAAGTGACTAAGAGCAATTTGAAGTCAATAGAAAATAGATGTCAAGTAGAGTGCTAGAAAAATCCATTTCCCCCTTAAAGGAGGACTACAGGTTCAGGTTGGCTAACACCACAATAACCAGAAGATGCCCAGCTCATAGCTTCCAGACTGGTTTGGCAAGTGGAGGGAGAAGGCAGCATCTGCGTACATCTGAACAATCACCTGCGGAGTGATGATTACCACCTCCCCACAGAGCCACCCTCCTCTGATGGCTGTCCCCAGGCACACTCAACAGGTGTGAAATCATATCACAAGACTGAGAAGCCCTCTTGCAGGTGGGCCCCAGAGAAGCTGCTGTCTGGCTGTTGTTCATGATTTATCTATAGTGCTTTGTGTGTGTTTTAGAATTTAGTTTAGCATTTTGTTATTTATCTAAAAATTTAGCCAAACCTATTAATAGCTATGCCCTAACAAGAAAAAAATGTCAACAGCATCTAAATAAATACCCAGCAAATAGCTAGGTCACAATCCAAAAGATATTAAAGGTTACATTCACTAAAAACAATTTAAAGAAATAACTTCGTTTTTGAATTGTTTTACTTTTCTGGACAGTTTTCAATGTCTCTTAAAATGTGATTAAGTTGTTAGTGTGCATATCAACTGCTCATTTGCATATGTTGGTAATACAATTTTTTACCTTTTATTTATTCATTCGTGTGTGTGTGTGTATGTGTGTGCATGCGTGCGCGCGCACATGAGTATATAGCACATGTGTCAAGGTCAGAGGACAACTTTCAGGGGTCAGTTCTCTCCTTCCACCATGTGAGTCTTAGGGAGTGAACTGAGGCTTGGAAATACACGCCTTTACCTGCTGAACCAACTTGATGGCCTCAATAATACAGTTTTATAGGTAATTTTTAAAAAGTTTCTCAGTAGGTAAAGCTACAAAATTAAATACTAAAAAGTTTTAAATTGAAGTTTTAACTTGATTTTTAAGTTTATTATTCTTTGTGTGTGTTGTGTATTTGTGTCTCTCTGTGGTGTGTGTGTGTATGTGTGTGTGCATGCGTGTGTTGAATGTGCATCTGTACCTGTATATATGGAGGTCAGAGGAGGACACTGGGTGTCCTGCTCTATCATTCTGTACCTTATTCAAAGTTTCTCACTGAATATGGACCTTGCTATTTCAGCTATACTGGTTGGTCACAAATCCCCAGTGACCCTCCTGTGTCCATCCCTCCAACGGTGCTGGGGTTATAGGCACACATGGCTACACCTGATTTCTAACATGGGGGCTGGGAATCTGAACTCAGGTCCTTATGATTGTACAGCAAGTGCTCTTATCTGCTGAGCCGTCTCCCCAGCCCCTGATACAATCCTGCACTGAACAAATAGTGAACTGTATACTACTTGTTTTTATGTGTAAAGTGAAAATGTATAATTACAGTATATGTAAGTATGTATATAATGTATCTGTGGTATTAAAAATTTCTTGGAGAGGGGTAATTAAGAAAAAGGATGATTAAGCTGGAGATGATGGCACATGCCTTTAATCCCAGCACCACAGAGGCAGAGGCAGGTAGATCTCTGTGAGTTCAAGGTCAGCCTAGTCTACATAGCGAGTTTCAGGCCAGCTAGGGCTACAGGGAGACCCTGTCTCAAAAAGACCAAAAAGAAAGAGGAAAAAAGATGATTAAAATGTCATTTTGGGGTACAATAATGAAAAAACAAAAACAAAAACAAACAATTGAGTAAGAGGCTCTTCGCAGAGCTTTGCCTACAAAGGTGAAGAGCCTAATACCAAACAGATATGCAAACGTACATACCCCATGAAGTCAATAACCTCCTATTAGAACATGGCCACTTGATTTTCTTAGAGAGGGGTTTCCTCTACTTTCCATCTTTGGAAAATAACATCTCTCTCCCTTGCCTACTTGATATGCCCAGGACAAAGGCAGAATTTCATCATAGCTAAGTCAGGCTTGGTCAAAGCCCCAGAGTCCCTCTCCCTTCCCAGTTGGCTTTGTGGCGCACATACTTGATACATGTCTGTGCTGGATCTGGGCCAGTTTCGCCTCCTTTGCTTCCTGTAGTTTACACCACTGGGCATTCAGACGCCTCAGGTTTACCTCCTGCTGGTTCTCCTCACGTTTCTTCAGCAGCTCTTTTAAAACCTCCAGGCGCAGGTCCTGCAGTCTTCAAGTAAGTTACAGAGCATTGAGATGTACATGGCATCTCAAACAGGACCCTCTAGTAGACAGCAAAGGAACTGCCACAGCAGGCATCATGTTCATGTGTTTTAAAGAAAGGACCACTCTGGCAAAAAGGTGACACGTGAGCTGAGACAGAGGGGGACACCCAGTGATGAATCTCTGTGTAGTGGAAATATTTATATGGGTGTGGTTATGGAGAATGATGCCAGGCAGATGGAATAAAATTTAAAAAAAAAGAAAGAAAGAAAGAAAGAAAAAAGGCACTTTAAGTAGCTGACCCTAGAGAACAATAGATCTGTGGACAGCTCTAGGTCAAGTAGAGGGCTAAATATCAGGAGGCATGAAGAAAGCTGGGGTGCAGGCTACCTTGAGACTGAGGGTGACAGGGTTGGTCCTGGCACACAGTAGGCACTCAGTCATTTCCCCCATGTCTTTCTTTTGTAAAGCTGTGCTCCCCTCCCATCACCCTCTTAGTGCTGACTTGCTCACATGTCCAACCATTTGCAAGTGATGGTGAACAGTTTCCTATCTGTACAGGGTAAGGACTGCTTTTAAACCCAGATATTCCGGGAAATTCTTTCAGATTAAACAAAACAGTTTGAACGTTACTCCCATCAACCCAGGAGCAGCTGTCCAACGGACAGAGGACCTACTTCTCAATCTCGTGCTCTCTGAAGGCCCACTCCTTCCTCTCCATTTCGTTCATCATCTTCCTTCTCTTCTCAAACTGGGAGATGTTGCTCAGTGGGGGCAGAGTGGCTTCCCACGCGCGCTTCTCTCGAACCCGTTCTATCATTTCCACCTCAGCCTGTCCTGCTGGGAGACCTCGGCCTGCAGGAGATGCCACAGCTCAGGAACATAGGGTAAACCCACCTGCCACCGGTATGTGACATCCTCCTGCCTTGCTCTACAGTCAGAGGCGATGATGTGATATAATGTCACTGGGAAAGAGCACTCCAGATGTGCCTCATGGCCTGTGCAAACCATGCCCTGTGTTGCCTTTTCTTACTGAGCTGTAAGCAGTTTTAGTTGCATGTGTGTTGAACGAAAGTATTGGGGAATATTCAGAACCCATGTCAGGCAGTTCACAACCATCAGCTCTAATCACCATGGAAGATCCTGTGCTAGATAAGTCCATATTTTAAAACTCAAAGACTAGCAAATCCTGAGGGAAAAATATATCAGAGGTTGGGAATTTATTGGGTGAAAGTTAAAAAGAGATACTTTTTAAAAACAACAGATCATGAAGGAATAATCATTAGCTGAGAATGTATCTTCTCTACATTTTATCTCCCTACAATGAATAAGTAAAAAATTTAGGACTATGCACATCTCCACCTTTAAGACTTCAAAGACCGGTGGGGCCATCCATCAGTTATGCCTCCTGGCCAGCTCAGAGACATGGACTGAGACCTAACTCAACTTAGCCCTCTCTGGGACAGGTTTTGGGACCCCATCACACACTCAGGTGGCTAAAGGTCTAAAGGTGGCATTGACTTGTATCATCTTTTTGGGACCAAAAACTGCTAAAGGAATAAGTGTAGACCAAGTTTCCTGCTGATCATTGAGCTCCAACAAACCAACCAGCTTTTATTTTTATTTTTAAAAATAATTATATAGAAAAGCCTAAAGAAATAAAAATCTGTATTTCTACTGCATAATATAAGCTACTTTTTAATTTTCTGCACTATTTGTCAAATCTTCTGTTTACCCATTTTATGGGTATATTGTCAATTTATGTATAAAGAAATGAATAGGGCTGGATAGGTGGCTCAGTGGTTTAAGAGTACATATTGCTCTTATAGAGGACCCAGTTCACTTCCCAGAACCCATGTCAGGCAGCTCGCAACCACCTGTAACTCCAGCTCTAAGGAATCTGACACCCTCTTCTGCCCTCTGCAGGTACCCACATACATGTGGCATACAGTCACACAGACGCAGACACAGACACACACACACACACACACATACACATAATTAAAAATAAAAATAAATCTAACGAAAAATATTCTTTAAAAGAAAAAGCAACAGCTTTAAAAAAGAGAAAAGAATAATACCATGTTTAATATATATGTAAATAAGAACTGGGTACTGTGGTGTGGCACAGGCCTTTAATCCCAGCACTTGGGAGACAGGGGATGGATTATCTCTGTGAGACTGAGGCCAATCTGGTCTACATAGGGAGTTCCAGGCCAGTTGAGACTACAGGGAAACAGGGTCTCAGAAAACAACAATCCCCCACCAATGTAAACTATACAAATATATATTAACATAAATAATTTTGTGTAGAGTTTACTAATTTAAAAACAAAAAGTATGGAAACATAAACACTCAGACCCAACAGCACACGTATTACATATCAAATACACTTTACCTTTTCTTTTTTTGTAATTTTTTCATTTTATTTATATTTTTATTTTGTGTGTATGAATGTAATGCCTGCATATAGGTAGGTGCACCCATGTCATACCGTGCCCACAAAGGTCAGAAAAGGGTGTCGGATCTCCTGGAACTGGAGTTACTGATGGTTGTTTGTCCCCATGTGGGTGCTGGGAATCAAACCTGGGTCCTCTGCAAGAGCAGTCAGTGCTCTTAACAGCTGAGCCATCTCTCCAGTTCCAAACTTTACCTTTTCTAATGAAAGAAATATTAAAAATTAAAGTTGATGGTTCTTTTAACTACCATATTGAGCCCCATTCCTGTCTCCTCTCTCCCAAAATAAACACAAAAAGGAATTTAGAACTCTCTTTCCAGTCAATTTTAGCATTTTATATGCAAATTGTGCATCTGTTACTTACAATGATGTTAGACTTATAAGTACTTACAATATACCAAGAACTGTTAACATTTATTTAATCTTCAACAAATCCCTATCACAGAAATAGAAGTATTTTACAATTGAAGACACTAAGGGGCTTAAAGGTAAAGGAAGAAGCAGAAGGTAATAGCGGTTACAATGAGAGGTCTTTCTTTTTTGTTTTTTTTTAAAAATATTTAATTTATTTTTATTTTATGTGTATGAGTATTTTGCCTGTATACGTATAAGTGCACCCAAGAGTACAATGCCTGACGAGGCCAGAAAAAGGCATTGAATTCCTGAAACTGGAGTTACAGACAATTGTTAGGTATCATGTGGCTGCTGGGAACTGAACCCAGGTCCTCTGCAAGAGCAGCCAGTGTTCTTAACCGCTGAGCCAACTCTCCAGCCTGTTTTGTGTTCTTATGTGCTCTATTCCTCTAATACAGCATGAATCAGAAACCAGATTTGATTTAAATATGTATCAAAAATGAACTATATAAAAGCAAAATGCACTGTTGTTTTTTTAATATTTACATTCACAGTATGATACAATTGCTCTTAGCCAAATGCTGAGAAGTGATTTACGAATGAATTACTCTGAAACTCATCTTACTCACTGAACTTCATTTGGGGGGCTTGACAATATTCATAGAGCGAGATCTAGCACTTCATTCACTTTAAGCTCTCAGATGGATATTTAGAGTGCTCTATTTTTTGATTACTCGAAGTGCACTCGTCTTTTGTGACTATATGTGAGTTCTCTAGGATTCTTAGAAGTAGAAATGCTAGAATCTAACACTAGATCATAAAATACAATTGCTATAATTTTGGTAACTGCCAAATTTACCTTGGAGAATATTCCTCCCCGTCCATGCTTCCTCATTTCCCCCCACATTCCTTCTGCCCAATCTCAGTTGCTTCCTGCAAGCCTTACAAATATCGAGTAGTTGACAAATTGTATATATTTTTTATTTTCATTGAAAAGGGAGTTTATGGAAGCCTTGTTCTTGTTGCTTTTATGTAGAGTTGGAGAAAAGTAGTTAATTTACACAGGAACCGTTATACTTGGTGTCTGAGTTTGAGTTAGTTACTTGAAGGGTATAAGTCATTTGGAAGGCATCATATCCATTCAGGCATGGATTTTCCCATTCACAAACATGACGTGTTTCTACTTCACTCACGTCTCCATATGCTTAAAGAACCGTTTATGATTTTCTCTATAAATTCCCTGCATTTTTATTTATCGATTTCCTATGTACATTCTTAGTTGTTATTGTGAATGTGAGTGATTTTTTTCCAATAATTTTTCCAATTCGATCCTGCTCATACCTTATAGTTACTAGTCTCTGTGGTTTTTTTTTTATTTTAATTTATTATTTTTATTTTATGTGTATGGGTATATTGCCTGCATGTGTGTAAATGCACCTGTGTCATGCAATGTCTGCAGAGGTCAGAAGGGGGTGTCAGATCCCCTGGAACTGGAGTTACAGACGGTTGTTAGTCACCATGGGGGTGCTGGGAATTGAACCCGGGTCCTCTGCAAGAGCAGTCAGTGCTCTTAATTGAGGAACTGTCTCTCCAGCCCCTGTCTGTTCGTTTTATAGTAAAACTCTCTTTAGTTTTGATACTTTATTAGGATTTTAATAAATGAACATTGTTTACAAATGAAAATAGTTTTGCTGCTATTGTTTAATCCTTATTTCCTGTTTGTTATTTTCCCCCCAACCTTACTGTACTACCTCAGTATTCCTCAACCAGGAGGCTATGGCCAGGTTAGGCTAGCAAAGACTTGTCTGGGAAAGCTCCATCCACGCAGGATGTGCAGTGCCCAGGCCATTCTGTCTCTTATGCCAGCCGCCTCCATCACGTCGCCTGAGTTCGCCCCCACGAGATCAAAGTCGTCTACCTGAGGTGCACCGGAGGCCAGGTCGGTGCCACGTCCGCCTTGGCCCCCAAGATCGGGCCCCTGGGTCTGTCTCCAAAAAAAAGCTAGTGACGACATTGCCAAGGTAACTGGCGATTGGAAAGGTCTGAGGATTACAGTGAACCCGGATTCGGGACGACCAAAGAAAGTTGCACCTAAAGACTCCGAGCAAAAGCCGAAAGCTGGACTGACACTTTTGCAACTTAAGAGCAAAAGAAATCTTTCCTCCCTAAAATGTTTATGTCAGGCATTTCATCATAGCGATGTAACAGTTACTAACAGAATACTCTTCATGAAGTCTCTAAGTTTCCTTCTGCTTCCCATTCACTTAGAGACTGAACCATGAGTGAGCTTTAAATGGTATCTAACACTTTTCTGCATATGGCAAAGCATTTTTCCTATATTTTCTGTTAAAATGGTTACTAATTGGTTTTCTGAAACTGTAACAAACTTGAATTTCCCCAACTAATTCACTGGGCTATGATTTTATCCTTTTAAAATGTAGCAAAATTTGATTGCTAGTATCTTTTTGTTTGTTGGTTTGTTTCAGTTTTTGAAACAGGGTCTCCCTGTAGCCCCAGATAGCCTGGAACTCACTCTGTAGACCAGGCTGGTCCCCATCTCACAAAGATCCATTGACCTCTGCAAGGATTAAAGACATGCACTACCACCACTTCTGAATGATGGCTGGTGTCTTTAGAATTTTTTTGCTTATTTATTCCCATATAAAACTAACTTGTAAGTTTCCTTTTGAGTACTGTCCCTATTCAGGTTTCAAGCTGAATCTATACTAGTTTCATGAAAGAATAAATCAAATTTAATTTTCTCTTTGCTCAAATAGTTTGCAAAAACCAAATTTTTTTGTTCCTTGAAGAAGTGGTAAACTTAGCTGTTCAACTACTTTAGGCTGGTTGCTTCTAAAAAAGGTTATTTTCTTTTTACCAAATAATTGTTCTAGTTATTCTTCTATTCTTGAAGCCAACTTAGTAATTTGCATTCTCTTTAAAAGTTGTATAATTTATCTAAGTTTTAAAATATAGAACTAAAATATTTACAGTATTCCCTTGTGCTTCTCACTCGGCAGCTGTGTGACCACTTTATACTTCTAATACTCCATTTGCATCTTTTGTGCGTGTGTGTGTGTGTGTGTGTGTGTGTGTGTGTGTGTGCATGTGTGGTCTTATGGATTTACCCCAAGGTCTTGAGCATGCTAGACAAGCATTCTAGCATTCTGCCTCTGAAGTACACCCTTAGCCCTGGCGTCTTCTTTTCATTGATGCATTCTATAAGTATCAGAAAAAAATATGTTATAGTCTTAACAACTCATTTCTTTTGGCTTTTTAAAGCTCTATTTTTTATCCATTTTCATCTTTATTAGTCATATAACCTGTGAGGATTAAATAAGTTACTAAAAATGTTAAGCACTTACAACAGTTCCTGGCACATAGTAGGCATTCAGTTTTCTGCTTAGTGTCTTTTTTTTTTTTTTTTTTCACTTTTCTTTTTTTTTCCCTCCAGTGCTGGGGAATCAAACCCAGGGCTTCACACATACTAGCCAAGCTCGCTACCACAAAGCTATAGTCTCTACTCTTTTTTTTTTTTTTTTTTAAGTAATGCATCTTGGGGCTCGAGAGATGGTTCAGTAGTTAAGAATATCAGTTGCTCTTGCAGAGGACCTGGGTTCAATTCCCAGCCCCCACATGGTGGCTAACCATCTACAACTCCAGTTCCAGAGGATCCAGCACCCTCTTCTGACCTCCGCAGGCATTTCACAACATGGGCGCACTTAAACACATGCAGGCAGTACACTGATACACATAAACTAAAATAAAATAATTTTAAAAATTAATGCATCCCATACATGCGGAAAGATGCAAGCATGTACACCCCACGTAGCCAGAACATTACCAGAACCCTAGACTGCCCACTACACTCCTTTCCCAGTCTCTACATGTCCCAAGGAGAAGCCCTATCATTGTGCCGAACACATTAATTCACTTTTGGTTGGTTTTGAGTTTTATAGATAGGAGGTGCACCTTTCTATCCCATTTCCTTTGTTTAACGCTGTACATTTGAGATCTACCCACGTGACTGAGTGCGGTTGTACCTCCATTCTCACTATGTGGCATTCCACTGCATGAATACACTGTACCTTACTCACCCACTCCATAGTTGATGGACATTTGGGTTCTTTTCAATTTGGAGTGATTGTGAATTGTACTGTCATAAATATTCTTGCACACATCTTATGGTGAACACATATATGCACATCTGTTAGTAGAATTTAGTATTTTCCTTTCCTTCCTCTCTCTCTCTCTCTCTCTCTCTCTCTCTCTCTCTCTCTTCCTTGAGACAGGGTCTCCCTGTAGCTCCAGCAGGCCTAGAACTCACTATGTAGACCAGGCTGGCTTCCATCTCCCAGAGTTCTGCCTGCCTCTGCCTCCTGAGTGTTGGAATTAAAGGCATGGACCACCATGTCTGACTTGTATTCACTTTCCTTTAACATACAGCTTGAAATGAAATTTCTGGGTTGCACATTACATAAATAAATTTGCTTAATCCTTATGATAGCTTATGAGGTAAATATTTTATTATGCATGACAATGTCTGTTTCATTTTCATTCTTCAATAATAATTTGGCTCTTAGAAAAAAATCTATATTTGCAATTATCTTCCCACAGTACTTAAAACTTATACTACAAAATGTCAATCTGGTATTTTTCCTTTGTGGATAACATGGCCTACTAGATTTTGAGCTTTTTTTCTTTTTTTATGGGTGCAAATCTTAAAAGTTTAAGATGCTCGTTACTCAATGGAATTTTCCTTTGTGAGGTCTCCTGCTTTTCGTCAGTTCTGGCGAATTCCTGATTGCCGGATTGTTTGGGGTTTTGGTTCTTTTGTGTTTTGCACTGATTCTCTGCCATTCCTTTTATCCTCACTATCTAGAGTTTACAATCCCATCCCATGTGACCCTTTTATCCCATTTTATTTCTATGTTGCAGTCTATAATTCATCTTCATTTATTTTCATAGATCTTTTGGCCATTTACATGTCTACTTTTGAGAAATGTCTATTTGGGTTCATTTCCTTTTTAAAAAATTTTATTATTTTTATTTTATGTGTATGAGTGTATTGTCTGCATGTGTGTAAGTGCACCCGTGTCATTCAATGCGCAAGGAGGTCAGAAGAGCACGTCGGATCCCCCACGGATGGTTATTAGCTGTCATGTGGGTGCTGGTAATCAAACCTGGGTTCTCTGCAAGAGCAGTCAGTGCTCTTAACCACTGAGCCATCTCTCCAGACTCCATTGCCTATTTTTCAATAAGGTTATATTTTCTTGCTATTGAATAGTTTGCAGTCCTTGTATGTTTTGGAGACTAGTCCTTTCCTGATATATTATATGCAAATGTTTTCTCCTACTACAAGGATTCTCTTCCCTCTATGAAGCAGAGTTGGCTGAGTGTGCATCCTTTCCAGGAACTCAGTAGCCTACATGGCTGTTAGTATTGCCATCTGCAACAGTCAACAAGAATTACCAACTCACCCCAAGTCAGAGTAGCCAGAGTCAAGAGCTCAGGAATAGTGTCCTGACAGACGACATATTCTGGAGAGTATGGATCTGTTTGCACATCTGCATCTCGAAAATCAGTCTGAGTGCCCACAGTAGACTTTGAAAGGATGAATGTGTGCTTAGAAGTTGGAGAAAAATCAAATGGTTCCATCCTAGAAGGGGAAAAATTGTTCAAAGTTGAAACTCAGTGTGATCATTTCAAATACTGTATAAGCAGATGAAAACAGCTCTTTGAACTTCATGAAGCCTATCCCTACCTTTAACTGTGGTCAGGCACGAAGACCAGTATAACTAAGATTACACCCTAAAATCTTGAGAGAATTGCCTTGTTATTATCACTTCTGTCAAGATAGTGAGGGGAAATAAATACCTTGCTCTCTTCAGGAAAGCATGTGTGACATTGCGCAAGGATGTGATGCAGAGCTACAGAAGGTGGATTAGGGTGTTGCAACCGCACTTCTGGACCTGTTCAGCACTGCTTCATTCCCTGATTCATATCTACTTTTGTCACATCCCAATTTGGCTGTTTCTCTGCAGATGTGCAGGAGCAGAGGAAAGAAGTGAAGCTTCCTATGAAGGAAGCAAGCACAAGAGATGCCGGCCTCTTTCTGCACGAGGACTATAATGAGTGCTGGAATAATGTGGAGAGCATGTGAGAAAGTTCCCGAATCCCTTGTATGAAAGTTAATTCCAAACTACTTTTTAAGTACTGTTAAAATGAGACTATCAAAGCACTAACAGAAAGCATAAGTAGGGGCCAGTGAGATGGGTCAGTAGGTAATGGAACTTTCCACCAAGCCTCATGGCCTGAGTTCAATCTCTGGATCCCACATGATGGAAGGAGAGAAATGACTTCCACAAATTGTCCTTTGACCTCCATGCATTGTGGCATGTGCGCACACACAGAGCCCAAAATAATAAATGTATTTTTTTAATTTTTTAGAAGAAGCATTTCATTACAGCTTTAACACACTTTTTAGTTTTATAGCAATAACAATTTCCAGAGCAAAGATACATCTCTTTCAAAAGTGGCTATAAAATTTTTAGGTTCACAGTTGAATTAATACAGTTATACAATGTTGAAATCAGTATAAACCCTGTAAGGCATAAAATTGAATGAGTTTTTAACCTTTAAAAAAGATTTCCATTTCATTTTAAAATATACTATTTTTTACAGAAAGACTCATTGTTTTTGCTAATAACACTTAGATGTTGGCACATGCGTCTCTAATCTGTATGTATCTGATTATTACCAGTCATGGTCAGTTGCACTCGGCTCCTTGGCACGTATGTATGTATATAAAGTCATCGGGTAGATTTCAATGGTAATATTTATCACCTCTACTACTTAACATGACAAA